CGTGGTAGTCATGCTGCAGCTTACATTATGGTTGTAGTACGAATGGGTTGACTCGACCGAAGAAGGATCCCACTCTCACAGCATAAAAAAGAAGCTTAATGCTGCTGTGTTTTGTATGATGAGTTTAGAGAACCGGAGAGCCTATTTACTTGGCCCAAGGGCCACCTTAACCGCACCATAACTTACTGTCACTTGATACATTTTTCCGTATTTTTTACAAATTTAACAGTACATCTAAATTTAACCAACTACTGGTTGACAAACCTAGTTCTAGCCGGCTAGAACTAGGTTTAACCGCACTTCGGCTTTTAGCCGTAACATATACACATTGCAAAGTTAGAAGTAGTATCTAACTGAGATTTTTGCGAAATGTTATGAACAATATATAACAATGTAAGCTTAATCGGTAGACACGAGGTAATTATCATTGTCAGTTCACTAAGCAGTCACTCAGGTTATCACGTCTTTTAAAATTTGTTGTATTTATGGATACCATATGAACGAACTTGTCTTGTCTTTGGTTTATACTATGACTTGGTCAAGTACTTAGTACTCGACTTGCAAAGTTAAAAGAAAACAAAGGCATACGTCTTACTGCTGTGCGTAGGTCTTCTATTGTTTATGAGAGGGTTTTGAACCACGGAGTAATTTAGTTCACTGTCCCATAGCGTGTGGTAGTGCAGGCTTCACCACTATGGTTTACTTTATCACCAAACAAGAATAATTGTAATTTACCTTTTTTGTAGTGGCCATTGGGTGGGAGGGCAGTGGCGAAGCTAGAGCTCCAAGCTAGGGCAAGCCCAAGATATAAATTTATAAAAATATGGATTGTTGTCTTTAGCTGTTTTATAAAAATACACCAATCTTGATCTGTTTCCACGCTTCAGTTTCATATTCAGTGCTGTCAAGGACGTGTTTAACAAAGCACACAGAAGGCATACTACTGCTAGATAGATTGTATGACATATCAGCAATTCCATAGCTTCGGTGGCTTTGAAGAAAGCCGTTTGGGTTTGTTTAAGCGAAAGAAAAAAAATATTTGCATCCATTACAATACATGAACAAAAGTAAAACACGAACAAAGTACAAACTATGTACAAAATTAAAAAAAAATATTCACATTCTAATGGATAAGAGATAAGATAAGATAAATGAAATCGTCTCGCGTTCTTAAAGAGATTTAATTTTAAGTCCACGTAAAATGTTGGTGAACGTTTTATTTGTACCAATAACTGTTTTTAATTGCGATAATTGATAAGTCTGAAATATACTCTATTATCTCGACAAAGTTTAAAGATTTCCTCTCCGATTATCACTTTAACACACTTCAATTCATCACAAGGAACCTTTTTATCCTCCATTTTCATTAAAAATCTTTAAAAAAGCATACATTTTGAACTCGTAATATTAAATCGCTTAAGATAAGCACACAGAGTAAATAAACATTGAAACGTGAAATGAACTTGCAAACGTATTGCCCGCGCGCCTCCGCTTTTAACAAATTTATTCCCAAAAGCCTGGCTTTAAATCTCTATACTAATTGCTATATATACGATCGTAGTTATATTTCATTATAGAATATTTTGCCATAGGTAAGAAAGAGAGCGATCGTCGTCTCGAAAACCCCGTAAAAAGCCCACGCGAGCGAGGGAGATAACTATTAGCTCTATTAAAACTCATTTTTTATGACAGCAGCAGTACTAAGGCAATACGAGGTCATCGGTCGACATGTGTCGAACTGTAGAGTGCGCGAGAAATTTGAAATAGCTTGAAACATTTTACGAGTTATTTTATTAGTTGATATTATTGATTGATTCAGGTTTAATAAGGCAAGCTCGGCTTTTCGGCTTTAATGGAAGCTTCGCCACTGTAGTAGGGGGGAGTGATCTGTGATATTGGTCCAGAGAGAGCATCCATCTAAGCTAGTTTGTGTAATGATCTCATAAGAGTCGAATAAAGTATAATAATATGTTAGATACAGACTAATAGATAATAACCTTCATGTGGCTCAATTCCCAGATTCTGGACGTTGTTATTTTTTTATAGAATAAAGGTGACAAGCGAGCCCATAGCCCACCTGATGGTAAGTAGATATCTACATTTATCTACTATTAAGAATCAACATGCTGATACGTTGTCACCCTTGAAGACTAATATGGCATGCCTCGTTTCCGGTGAAAAGGGTCTCTGGTTCTCTACACACACCATACACAGCAGCATTAACCTGTTAGTTTATGCCGGTATTCTGTAAGAGCGTGGTCCTTCCGCGATCGAGTCGACCCATTCGTGCTAAAACCGTAATATAGCTGTAGCATGGCTCTACCAAATACAACATATATTTCAATAGCTAATTTCAATAATTTATTTGACGAAAGTTTGAGGCTAAAAGCAGTAGGGAAATGCGGTAAAGTTTTTTGCTACGCAATGCCTAATATATAAAAAATTATGTTTATTTGTTCTTTTTTTATGCGCTGCCATAACGTTCATCAGATGGCAGTTAAACTTTGTCAACTTAAAGCTTGCACTTGCGCGAGGGTTATGGGCATAGTACAATTAACTTACACTAGGTAGCGCGCGTATCGTACCGACAAATTTATTTGAAAGATGCATGTCATTTAATGAATGTATTTATCCTTTCTAATTAAGCAAGTTTTCTCTTTCAAATTTAAAACCACATATATTTCTTCTGCGGCACTAATGCGCGGGAATAACTCGCGGCACGAAAGTCTAGCGGTGACCGTTAATGCGCATAATTGGCCGTATTTCGCATTAATACTTATGATTGGCTGTGCGTATAGTTAGCACGCGCTGATTGGCTCTCCAGTCGCATTCCGTCCCCCATACTGATACGACATTCGCAGCTATCCCCTCTACGTTTCGTTCAGCGCTAGAGTTAGGCGCCGCGAGTAGTACCAGCTAGTTAGCTTATCAATAAAAGTTCATCAGTTTCTAGAGTATAAGGTGCATTATTAATATACAAAACAGTGCCTCAGTAGGTTGCTCTTTAATTTTTGCACTAGTTTTAATTTTTTAACTTTTAGGAATTTCCGTTGTTAGATTTATTTATAGAAATTTAAAAAAATTTAAAGAAAGAAACATTAACCCTTATATTTCCCTAACAAATTAACTTCCCCGCTATGATATCTGCACCTCATTCCAAAATGGCGCCGCCCTGGTGGCAGAAAAATCGTTGATTCATTAAGGTTCATTCATCCGAAGTCATTAAAATACGCGCAAATCATAAACCTTTATTGTGCGGACGTTCCGCTTCTCGGTATAATTGAGACACTAAAGTAATATGTTGTATGAATATTTTTCATACCTTACATACATATCACAAAGTCAAATATCGTTTATTGTTCTGAGACTGCGACGTCGCGTCGACGACGTCAGCTGTGCTTTGTTTGTTAAAATACCTATTTTAAATAACAAAGTCCGCTTAAGGAGTAAATCCCGTGTAGTGGCTGTGTAAGAATATCCAACACCACATCATCGCCATGTCCTGAGAGGCGACAGAGGGAAACAAACCTGCATATGGGCAGCAGCGTCTTATTAATAACGATTAAAAATAAAAAATGCCCCGCTTGCCAAGCGTGGCAACTATGGCAAATATTGCTCCTATAGGGTAATCCATTGGGAAGGCCCATGTTCAGCAGCGTACTTTAATAGGCTATAACGGTGCAACTATAAAGACCAACATGATTAAAACTACTTTTACGGATTTTATCGCGTTTATTTTTACTTTTTTATTTACTTTTATTTTTAATTCCTGACGTTTCGGGCGCTTTCCAGCACCCATGGTCACGGGGGACTGAGATGACTGACGTCCCGATGTCATTGTTAAACCCGGAGTACCTTCAGCTTTAACAATGAGAGGTTTAACAATGACAACGGGACGTCAGTCATCTCAGTCCCCCGTGACCATGGGTGCTGGAAAGCGCCCGAAACGTCGGGAATTAAAAATAAAAGTAAATAAAAAGTAAATAAAAAGTAAAATTAATAAAAGTAGTTTTAATCATGTATAGTGTTCACGTAAATATAAGAAATCATTATATAAAGACCAATTTAAAAAAAAAACATTTTAAACTTTAAAGTTTTCTTAATTTATCGTCTAGTATAAGCTACCTGTGTACCAGATTTTCTATGTTGTCACCCCTGGTAACCAAGATGGAATGTCCCGCTTTCGGTAAAAACGGTCTCCGGTTCTCTATACTCACCATACGAAGCAAAATTCTGTGAGAGCGTGGTCCGACCCTGATCTAGCCAACCCATTCATGCTACAACCGTAATAGTGTCCTCCAAACCAAATTTCGTGTCACGGCAAGCAATTTCAACGGAGACGAGCTATTTGTGCAGAACAGGATTAAAGTGTCCAAATCGCATACACAAGCACAGGTGCACTCTATTCTCTTACTCTCATAGTCCGATGGGACGGTTATCAGACACGATCAGAGGTAGATTAAGCGCAGGACCAACAGCTTTATGTGTTTTTCGAGGCGCGGGGGTGAAACATCGCCAACTTCCTGACTTCGAGTTGCTACGGAGAATTATAATATTAGTACCCAATAACTGATCTTGACCCGACCCGAGATTCGAACCCAGGACCTAATGACCAGTAGTCATGGTTACGACCACTATACCAAAGACACGGCAAGGTACACATAGAGACAAAGTACAATCATAAAGCAAATTTTTTTCGCTGCTTGCGTCGCTTTTTCCCTTTTTTGTAATAAAACTTCAGAATGTATTGAATTTCTTCGTTAGATTCACTCATTTTAGCGGAAAGAAAAACAATTGAAAAATGGCGGGAAAGTGTTTTTTACTATTTTTTTTTCTTAATGTCCTATATGTATTGATATTAAAACCAGCCAGATAAAAACAGTACAACCAAAGAGATTTATCTTTTAATTTTATACAAAGAAAACACGAAGAAACTTTTTCTCGACCCATTTACTGGCTAAAGAATGTACCTGTCTAATATCCTTGTTTCCTTCTTTTAGCGGAGGCCTGTCCAACTTCCTCTACTACGTGGCGCTCCCAGAAGACTCCAGCAAGTTCGGCGGCTACACACAGCGCGAGAGTTCGCCCGAGGCGGAACTCGAAACGCCTGTGACCAGGTTTGCAGGAAGAACTATGGTCAGGTCGAATTCGTTCTCAATCGAGGAGCCAAGGAAGGTCAGTATTGTGATGAGAAGTATTATGACGTCAAGCTAATCATTGTTTAAAAACAGATGGCCCTAATATGATAAACTATCTGACTTAGCTGGTATGAATCCTTTTTACTAGATTTTTGAAGTGAAAACTTCTTTAGCATCGTAGTGATTTGAAAGTCTATGAAACGAAAAAGCGACAGTAAAAAGAGACAGACACATAAATTCATAAGATTTAATGTGGGAGAAATGAGATAGGAAGCATTATGGATTATAGCTCCATGCTAGCGAGAAAAAAGTACTATATAAGGTATACCGAAAAGAGTAATATAATATCTGTGTCTAATATATATATTTTGATTGATTGTTACATTTATTTACTATAAAATTAATTTTTCTTATATTTAATGCCGAACTTGTAGTTTAAATTATAATATTAAATAAATCATTTAAAGTATTTGTATTTTATATTTCATATGTGACTAAATAAAACCAATTACTGAGACCATCATGTTACGACCCCTAGACCAACTAGGCAGAGTTGCTTATCATTGACACATACCTCCACGTGTGCTTCATGCAAGTGGTATATTTACACTCCTCGTTATCTTAAAGTGTTTGTGTTAAGAGTAGTTTGACTGAACTGCAGTCAACGAAGCAGTACTCGAATGGCGGATTCGAACCCACGACCTTAGTGTGCGCTTTCCACATCCTACCATAAGGCTATCTATAAATGCTTCTAAAATAATTATCTCAAACCTCAAAATACTCTTGACGAGCTGACCCGTTCAAGTTGTAGCCCTTACACGCTGTCGCAGTATTATATACGTATAAATGTTGATGTGTTATAATATGTATTTTTTTTTCTTTTTTTAAAAACGTTACCCGTACACTAAGATTTTCTCCTGTATCGTAGGGGCAGTTTACAAACATAAATTGCACAAGGACAAACATCCAGACCTGGAACAACTATTTGTAGGCCATACAAATACTTCTTTCGTGCGGGATTCGAACCCGCGACCCCCTACGCTGCCACTCATTGCTAAGCCACTGCGCCACGGAGTCGTCAAATAAATGTACACTGTCGATTTCAGGTTCTGCTGAGGATATACGGCCAAGTTCATGGAGAGCGCGCAATGGATGCCATAGTGACGGAATCGGTCATATTCACTTTGCTCTCAGAGAGGCGGCTGGGCCCCAAGCTACACGGCGTGTTCTCTGGTGGCAGGATCGAGGAGTACATACCGGTTAGTAAAAATAGCACATTAGTAATGAAGGAAATTGCTGGAACTTGACACATTCATTGGAAGGCCCATATTTTCTATAGAATAAGGGTGATAAACGAGTCCACAGTCCATCTGCTGGTATGTGGATGCCGTGGCTCATAGACATCTATATTTATCTTGTATTAGAGCGATCCGTTCGTGGTACAAATAGTTACAGCTGCAGCGTGATTCTACCACGTATAAAATGCACGTAAGCACGCTACGTACGCAGCATTTTATCGCCTAGGATATTTTGTTTCTTTTTCACGTCGCATGAATTATTTACAAAAAGACAATCCTAAAATTACACGTGCTGCGTCAGAAGAGATAAGAATTACGCGATAGAAAGCGCTCTGCAAGCTGAATTAAACTTTATTATGTCGTAACAAGATTCACTATTTACTAAAACGTTTTTGCAAAGTGTTTCTTCTCTACTGTGTACTACTAAAGTAGTCTCTACTTTCATTCAAACCAAAGTAAGTATTCACCATCAGTCAAGTGTAATGTCCCTCTGCAAGATGCAGGAGTATACAAGCTTGATTGTGAATGTAGTCTCTCCTACATAAGACAAACTAAAAGATTAATTAAAACCCGCGTTAAAGAACTGCTAGCTGATGTGAAGAATCGACGCTCCGGGAAGTCTGCAGTCTGTGAACACGTACAGAATGGTCCTCGTCACTACATCAGATTTGATAGGCCACAAATCCTCGCGAAAGAACATCGGTTCCTACAAAGGATGATACGTGACTCTATTGAAATTAAAAAACATCCTAATTTCAATAAAGATGGCTGGGTACTACCATCTGCTTGGGATCCTATAATTAATAAAATTAAATCCCAACCCAAGCAATACAAATGCAAGACTTCAAGATACTATAAGTTCATAATGTGTAGATCTTAACAAAAGTTAATAATTTTAATCCGAGGGTAACCGCGGTTAATTATGACATCTGGACGTTGAACAACTTAATCCCCTCGTGACCATGGGTGCTGTAAAGTGCTCGAAACGCCGGGAGTATAAAAAAGTTAATATAGGCGATAAGATCCGTAAACGTTAGTTTTATTCAAATATGTTCTTTCTTTCTTTCTAATGGATTTCCGCAAAGTAACGATTCTGTTATTTTATACTTTATAACTATTTTTCAGGGAAGGTCTCTTCTCACAAAGGAGCTGTCAGAGCCGGCCTTGTCCATGAAGATTGCGGAGAAAATGGCCGCCATACATTCAATGGACGTGCCACTGTCGAAGGAACCCAACTGGATGTGGAAGACCATGGGCAAGTGGTTGAAGATTGTCAGGGACGAGAGGTTGTCACAGAATGCTGTGGGAAAGGTAATGTTTGAATATGCATTTATATTTCCTTTTTTCTTTTAACATAAGGTTGACAAACGAGCACACGGTCCACCCGATGGTAAGTGACTGCTGTGGCCCATAGACATCGATCCTCAATTAAGAATCACTCACACACTTTCATTTTATAAAATAAATTTATTATGTTCCTATAACCCTAACCCTATGAACCTTAACCCTAACAGAAACAGAAACGTTTTTATTCAATATAGATTATAAATAATTCTTATTGAAAGTCACTTTTTTTAATTTACCACTGGTTTGGAAAAAACCTCTGTCCTGGGAAGAACTAGCATGAAACCAATTGGGAAATTTAAAAAAATAACAGCTTACAGTCATGTATGTTACAATTAACAACACAAAACAAATTAGAAATAGCTTGGTAGCGATCACCCTTCCCAGAACAGAATTATTATCATCCGTATTTTCCTTTATATTATAAACACCCTTTTTATACAAACTTAGTTTCATATAGTTTTTGAACTTTGTGTAGCTCGAATTTTGTATATAGATTTGGGATTTTGTTGTTAAAGCGTATACATCGCCAAATTACTGACTCAGTGGAGTCGAGTAACTGGTACTACTAGCTTGTGTCTGTTCCTAGTATTTACATAATGAATATCACTTAATTTTGTAACACTACTTCTATTTTTGTGTACGTAGATAAGATTTTCGTAAATGTATTGAGAGGCCAAAGTTAATATAGTCTCTTTAGGCTTTAAATCATAAATTGCTCTAATGGCCCTCTTCTGTAAAATAAATATTATTTCAGTATCAGTCGCGTGTCCCCATAGCAAAATACCATATGACATAATGCTATGGAAATAGCTAAAGTAAACTAGTCTAGCTGCTTCAATACTGTTAAGAGTTCTAATCTTTTATACAGCATGCTGCAGAACTAAGTCTGCTAGCTAGTTTTGATATATGGAGGCCCCATTGAAGCTTTGTGTCTAGTATAATTGATTCCAAGATAAATGGTGATATCAACAAGACTCAACTCCGCCCCATTTAAAATTACATTAGTATTAACATGTTTTACATTCTTAATTACGAATTTCATAATTTTTTTTAAAAATAGGATAGGGTGACAAACGAGCACACAGTCCACCTGATGGTAAGTGGTTGCTGTGGCCCATAGACATCCGCATCTTTCCTCGATTACGAATCAAAATGCAGATGCGTTGTCACCCGTGAGGACTAAGATGGAATGGCTCGTTTCCAGTAAAAAGGGTCTCCGGTTCTCTACACTCACCATACGAAACACAGCAGCTTTAAGCAGCTATTTTATTAATATATTTTAGTATTCTGTGAGAGCGTGGTCCATCCCCGGTCGAGCCGACCCATTCGTGCTAGAACTATACTACTAATATAACTGCAGCATGGCTCTACCGTGTATAAATATAATACATTTACTTTTAGTGCCATTTAAATACAAATTATTAACATTAAACCAATTTACTATCTTTGATATAGTATTATTTACTTCGTCATAATTAAGTACCTAACTGTCGTTTTAGTTTTAAAATTCATGAAGTGTCATCAGCAAATAATACTATATCATGGTTATCCACTACTATGTAAGGCAAGTCGTAAATATATACAAGAAACAGAAAGGGGTCGAGAATTAAGCGCTGAGGCACGCTCATTTGTACTATTGACCTGGAAGAACTCTTACTATTAATGACAACTTTTTGCGTATTTGTTTATGTTAATTCATTCGCAAACTCGTTGCGAGAAACTTGTTATGTTTAATTAGGTATAGCTCCAAATTAGTTTTTATGAATGTCAAAATCAACACCAGTTCGGTATACAAGATTCTTTTTCATCTCTTTCAATCGATTTCAAAACGAGGGAGGTGTGTTATTGTTCAGCTTTTTTTCTAGATGAACCTATTTCGATGATTCTTTTTTTATTTGAATGCTGGTACTTCTCATTACACACACATAACATTTAATATTCCAGTAGTTTTTGAGTTATCTTCAATAATGCATATATAATTGACTTCGACCACATTGATGATGTTCTCATTTTATTTATATTGAAGTCGGTTGCACAATTTTTTTTTAATTTTACCACTTGTTTTATATAAAATATACAAGTAATGGTATTAAATCTACATTATTATTATTCATTTGAACCTCTTCTGGTAAGCTTAAAATACTTGTAATAGGAGTGGTTCACGAGACTGATCGAATGGCGTTAGAACCCACGACCTTTTGAGTTTACGCTCTGCACATTGCCATCAGGCTACTGACGCTTAAAAATCTTTAAGTCTTTGATCAAATGATGCATTTTTGAATGTCTATTTTATTTAGTAGGATATAATATGTATCTATATTGATTACAGGTGGTAGAGCTACGCTACAGCTATATTATAGTTCTAGCACGAATATATCGGCTTGACCGGAAACGGACCACGCTGTCACAGTGAGCGAAGAGAACCGAAGACCTCTTTTACTGGAAACGAGACATCCCATCTTATTCCTCATGGGTGACAACGCATCTGCATTTTGATTAGTAGTCGAAGATAGAAGTAGATATGTATGGACCACAGCATCCACTTACAATCAATTGGACTGTGAGTAGTTCTAGTTTGTTTTTTTTTATAGAAGAGGGGGCAAACGAGCATACGGTTCACCTGATGTTAAGTGACTACCGCCGCCCATGATCAACTGTAACACCAGGGGAATTGCAGGTGCGTTGCAAGCCCTTTAGAAAGGAGTACGCTCTTTTCTTGAAGGTCGTATAGGTCCGGTGGTAAACTATTCCACAGAGAGGTCGTACGCGGAAGATAACTCCTTGTGAAACGTACAGTGGTGGACCGCCAAGCATCCAGATGGTGTGGATGGTATCGGGAGGTTTGCCGCGTTCGGTTTGTCACCCTTGTTCTATAAAAAAGTCATTTTTACATTTATTTCGTTGCCAACGGAAACATACTAACTAGTCATAAAAGACGGGGTGATGTAGATATAGAATAACTTTCATATTTCTATTTCTTGCAGAACGAAGAAGAACAGGATATTATAAAGCGACTGAAGACTGTTGACTTTGAGAAGGAGATTGAGTGGCTGAAGAAGTTAATTGCTACCGTCGACTCTCCGGTAGTCTTCTGTCACAATGACTTGCAGGAAGGTTTGTCACTCTGTTTCTCTTCTGTTCTAATATTATTGATAAAGAAGTTTAATCTATACACATAAATAAAATAGAAATGTCCGTGTGTTACATTGTAATACCTGGCTAGTGGAGCAGGAGATTATATGTATGCTATTAAGTCATAAATAACTATATCTAAAAAAACTGTATGTCTACCTATCTATCTGACTGGTCTGATCTGCGGAATCGCTGAATAGATTATGATTAAAATTTATAAACAGATAGAGGATATCCGAAATCTTGAAGTTATATGTTTTTTTTTATATATTGCATGAGGTGACACACGAGCACACAGTCCACCTGATGGTAAGTGGATGCTGTGGACCATAGACATATACATCTATCCTCGATTACAAATCAAAATGTAGATGCGTTGTTAGCCTAGAGGACTAAGATGGAATGCCTCGTTTCCAGTAAAAAGGGTCTCCGTTTCACTACACTCGCCCTACGAAACACAGCAGCATTAAGCTACTATTGTACGCTGGTATTCTGTGAGAGTGTGGTCCCTCCCCGGTCGAGCCGACCCATTCCTGCTACAACTATACTACTAATATAGCAGCATGGCTCTACCACGTATAAAGTTTTTGGATTTTATATTAGATCGTTTATAATCCTTTTCAGTATACTTTTTCTGTTCTTTAATTTTCTTAAATCTAAATAACGCCATATTAATAATATTTCTTATCCAGACGAAACTAAATTTTTATTATAAAGTAGTTGCGTGCGATTTCATAATTTAGTTCTTTCTATTTATTTTTAAAAAACGGTGCTTCCACACTAGGATGTTCTCCTATATAGTAAAGGCAGTTTAAAACATAAATTTCACAAAGACAAACATTCAGATCCGAAGCAATTGTTTGTAGGCCATACTAAAGGTTGACTCACGCTACCGTGTCGGGTCTATGCCGAGTGTCGGCCGTAGCACGGTCAACTGATATATGTATTTTGTATGGACACACTCACGCTATACCGAGCGGCAACCGAGTGACGGCCGAGCAACAGACAACGCTCGGCAACAACTCGGTCACGGCTTGCAGTTGAAGATTTATCAGATTCCTCATCGTCCAGAGCGATCGCAATAGCCGCTAATTCCAGATCGTCAATCTTTAATATGATTGTAGTCTAGTTCATCATTCATCACAGCGCAACGGTGGCTCGGTGACCGTGCTACGTGCACTTGAGTGTGAGTCAACCTTAATATTTGTTCTGTTCGAACCTGTACTCCTTGCTAAGCCACTGCGCCACGGAGTCGTGACATATAGTGTTTTTTTTTTATAGAACAATGGTGACAAACGAGCACACGGTTCACCTAATGGTAAGTGAATACTGTGGCCCATAAACATCCACGTCTATCCTCGATTAATAATCAAAGTTGTGCCCCCGTGAGGACTAAAATGGAATGCCTCGTATTCAGTAAAAAGGGTCTCCGGTTTTCGACACTTACCACGCGAAACACAGCAGTATTAAGCTGGTATTCTGTGAGTGCGTGATCGTACTCCAGTCGATCTGACACATCCGTGCTACAGCTGATATAACTGCATCATGGCTCTCCCTCGTATAATTTTAATTTTAATTCCAGGTAACATCATGCTCCTAGAAGACGTGGTCCAAAACACAACAGAGGAAGACGTATCCCCAATTTACTTGCAATCCTACGACGGAACACCCCCCTCTAACAAGGAGAACAACCATACGAAGGGCCGTTCCACGCCATTGGTGGAGCCACTGTCGCAATTTGACGACGCGAACACTTCCGACAGCATCATCAGCCACATCTCCGACAGCGGGGAACCCAAGCTGGTCCTCATCGACTTTGAGTACTGCGCCTACAATTACAGAGGTTTCGATATCGCCAACCACTTCCAGGAGTGGGGTTACGACTACACCAACCCGGAGCACCCGTTTTACTACGACAACCAGGAGAACTGTCCCACGTTGGAACAGAAGGTGAGTTTAATTATGTGTAGGTGACTGTCTATGGTAAGTATGGTACAGTACCCACTTCCTACCATATAATGACTTGTTAAACATTTTAACAACGATTGAATATCATTTGGTTATTAGCGATTTATTTTGTAATTAAATTACATGAATTATGGAATAACAATATAGTTTATAATTTGAGGAAATTTTTAATTTAAAATTTCCCCAAATTATAGGAAAATTTTCCCAAAATATCGGGTATTTTAGCCGAATTAGAAATAAGGAGGATTTTAAATCAAGTGTGTTATTTTCTTATATATGTATGTTACTTGATATCTTTGTCAACTGTGAACCAATTTAATTTTTTTTAATAGGGTATACTTCAGGCGTAAGTACTATATAAATTTAGATAAAGAAATTCATCTCTATAAGTGGAAAGATAGAGGATGAAGTTGTTGATGTAACTATTTAGGTCAAGGTATTTATATTACTTATATACCTTAATCCAAATAAACGGGTCAAAAAATTTGATTTTTAATAAAAAGTCAAAGCCCAAAGAGCTATGAAGAATGAAATAACTTCCACACACTAGTATGTGCTGCTACTTCAGAAGTCAGGTCTTTAATACTTCTATGCACTATATCTTAGCTCCGACTTCCGAAGCTATTATGCGAAAATTATTTTATTCTTTTTGGCCCTTCGAAGTCGTTTTTTATATTTTATTAAAAGATTTTTATGTTTTATTACTCTGTACTATTTTTAATTCCGTATAAAATAAATCTTCCTTCATTGCTTTTATCATTTTATAATTTCCACACAAACACAAAGGAAGGAATAAACACAAAGGAAAAATGAAATGTACGCCTAAACGCCCTGAGGGTTTGTTCACAAATTTCAATTGTGTGCAATGAACTACTTTTAAAATTAAAAAATATATATTAGGGGTTAAAGTATGAAATAATGTCCGTTTTTATTGAAAAATTTAACTTAATTCAAACGTGTAGTGGCGGTGGAAGAATAACCCTCACCCCATATCTTCCCGCGGGTGTCGTGAGAGGCGACAGAGGGAAACAGATCAGATGGGCAGCTGCGTGTTCCTAATAATAACTCGTATATATAAACTGCGGCTGCCAATCAGTCTGTTATCTATACATTGGGTGCGTTTGGCAGAAAAAAGCGCTAGCAAGCGCTTATAAGCGCTAAAATAGTTTTCGGCCAGGACACGATTGCTACTTCAGTAGCGCTGACACAAGCCGCCATTTTGCTTATTTAATTTGTTTGTTTTGCAGTAGAGTTTATAAGTTGTTTTGTGCAATATTAGTTTTAAGTAATATAATGACATGAATAAACATATACATGCTATTAAAAACTCATGATTGGTAAGTTTTTAATATGAATACTTTACAAACATATATTTAAATTAGGTTAGATTCCGCGGTTAAAACTAACATCGTGTCCTGGAGGAAAATAGCTACTTACGATTTGACAGCGCTTACCGCTTACGATCGCCATTTTGCTTACAAGCGCTTGCTAGCGCTTTTTTCTGCCAAACGCACCCATTGCGTTAGTTATCTATACATTTCTACCATCTCGAGCGAACATAATTTATGCTCTTGAGATATAACACTGGGAAGCTGATTCTACAAAGTAACGCAAAAACCTCAAATTGTGGAAAAAATGGTAAATCGGTCTAGGCTTGTTCTGGTAGATACGGAGGACGACGAATGGTTTCTAACTGCAGGTCTTGTATTGTTATAACGGTTTGTCAAGAGATCAATCACACATCAGTTAATTCTAATGAATTAATAAATAAGAGCAATAATTTTTCAAGATGTTTAATAACTTCAAGCATGATACTAATTATTTGGTTGTTTGATAAGGATAGACTTCCACTCTAACTTTCTAATCTTATCAATCTATCTTATAATCTATCTTTCCACTCTAACTTTGAAGGACTCCATGTTTCACTCAAATACTGAATGTGTTCTTCGAACCAGTGGTAAATAAAAAATGGGTTTCAATAAGTATTATGTATCAATCTATATTGAGTAAAATCATTCTATTATATTCTAATTAAAAAAAAATTGAAAGTCAAGTCGTACAAAGGGATGTCATTTTTTTTTTAAATTTTGAATATACAGACCGTGCCACGAAAGATGAGACTTGGCGAGCGTCAGTAGTGGGGAGCTTGCGCAAGTACTGTCGTGTACGAAATATTATCCATAATTTGTATATCTATTCAGAGATTTTTCGACGACATTTGAAATTAACACAACGTAACAAAATTCTGAAAAATATTTATTACGAAATAATAAATTTAAAGATAAAAATGGCTGATTATCCTAGTCACTGTCACTGTCAATAAATGATACACCAGCGGGAAGATTATCGTTTGTAACGCGGCTGCAACCAGGTACATTAACTCTAGAAAATACACTACTTGTTCCAGGAGTTAACAGATTATCGTTTTCGTCAGATGACGATGAGGAACTACCTGAGTCCCCTGAGTCGCTGTCTGACGAATCTTCTCCTAGTCTGATAATTATCTCCGTATCCGTCAAATTGTCTATTATGTGATCACTTTCTATGTAAAGTCTTCAATTTTTTTTTGTTTTATCACATAGAGCTTTCCATTCATTTGGTCCCATTTGGCTTGCCTTTTCTGTTACTAACTCTATCACACGTTTGAGGTTCCATTGCACATTCTTACTACTCACATAACCTTTTATTGAAGCCAGCCATTTCGATTGGATTTAAATCTGTGTGGTATGGAGGTAATCGCAGTACGTCATGACCGTGTTCAGATAGTATTTTGTCAATGCTGAATGTCTTATATTGTTCTTTATGTATTTTTATTAATTTGTACAATTGTGGTTTAAGCATATCTGGAGTGTAGGGAATTCCTTTTTGGGTTAGCCAAGATTGCATATCAGCTTTCTTGGTATTTGAGCTTGGTGCAGATTCATACTCCTTATTGTGATACGGGGCATTATCAACTACCACGACGGCATTTGGTGGAAGATTGGGTATTAGCTGGGTTCGAAGCCATTTCTGATAATTTTCGTAATTCATGTCGTCGTGGTAATCACCCGTTTTTGACTCCGATTTAAAAGTCAGTAAAGCGTTTGGTATGAAACCACTTTCAGATCCAGCATGTACAATAACTACGCGCTTCGACCTTTAGATATTGGTTTTTTGAGCCCTTTATTTGAATTATCAGACCAATATTTGGAGGTACTATGCGTGGAATGCACGTAAGACTCGTCAGTATATACAATAGGACGGCCTTCTTGGCGATATTTTTTGACTTTTTTTAAATATTCAATTCTTTTCAGTCTGATATTGGATTTTTCTATAAGAATTTTTCGATAATTTTCGGTCCTCCTCCGTCGAAAACCAAGGTCTTTCAAAATGCGGCGTAGACTTGTTTTAGAACCTCGAAAGGCAATATCATCACGCAACTTTGCTAAAATTTTATTAGGGGCGGCAGTTCCTTGTTCGTAACATGGAAGTTGTGAACACATATTTTTATCACTCCTTTGTCAAAGTCATCTATGTCGGTTAAAAGTTTGGGTCTTGACCTTTTTTTCCGGGAGTGCGGAAAATTGGTAGTAACTCGGAAATGTTTTCTTCCTTCACAATTCTTTTTACTGTAATTAATGATGTTCTAGTTGCGGCCGCTGTACGCATTTGTACCTGCTTCAAATTTTGTACACCTTCCTTTGCTTCTTTTGACATATAGGTGTACACGTCGTAAAGCATCTTCCTACTTTGTCGTCTTAATGTTTTACCTCGAGGCATAATCAAGATTTCACAAAGTTTCACTCGTATAGAACAACACAACTATAAACAAAGTAGAAATTTATAAACACAAGTTGCACTTGTCTGTACTTGCGGAGTCAAGCGGTAAGTGCACGGGGCGCGGAGAGCGGGAAGCAACTAATATGAATCAGCGGCGCCGATGACGCCCCGGTCCCTTCCCTCCTCAGACTTCATACCGCTAAAGAGACCGATAAATCGACTAATGCGCAACTCAAACCACGTGATGTGTCAAGTCTCATCTTTCGTGGCACGGTTTATACCTCGTTTAAGTGCAAAAGAAGATTTAAATAACGAATCATCATCAAATCATTGAACTATAATATACTTACATACGTACGTACGTATGTAATTACATACATAATATATACATAAGTTCGTATGCACGTACCTAGTACATTTTACTTCAATTATTCAAAATGACCACTTCACTAACTTCTTACTTTAACTTATTAAACTCTGTATTTTGTATGCATCCCGGTTTTCTAATAAAAGTTAAGATATTTGCATTACTTTTATTGGTTCTTTTTGTGCAAAAAAAACACAAATAAAGGAATAAACACATTTCTATCTCATAATAGAAATTATATGTGAAAACTTTGTTAGTAAGGTGTTATTTAGTGATATAAAAGAAAGTCATCAAGAATGAAGCATGTTTTTTGGGGTATCATAAACGTCTCTGCCATTACGCAGCTTGTGTTTGTTTATGCTTAATTTTTAGCCGACGCAGCGGTTGTGTCGCCAACGGGCCGTACACTTGGCAGAATGGACGCGCGCCTTTGCCTATGCCATTCCGACGGCGGTAAAATAGGAGTGACCAAATGGCCGCTTCCCGCTCTCGAAGAGTAAAAGTACTTTTAAAAAGAGAGTCAATTTTTTTTCTATATTTATGGAACTTTGCCATTGATTATTCAGCCTCTTATATTTTAGTATTTAAAAATTAATCATTTTATCGAAAAATATACGGATTTTGTAATTGGCTTATTTTAAAATAAACTTCAAAATGTTAAAAATATTAATTGCGTATAAAACTACTCCTGTATACAGGCTGATCAATCATAGGCAAGTTTGAATATTTGATTTCTTTTTTCGTCAAGCATTGAGTTCATTGGATTCCTAAATTATACTTTATAATAATAGCAAATTTTGATTATCGATTCGTATGACAAAACGATACTGAATATTTTGCAAAACTTTCTTTTGATTTTGTATATTTATTTTAATATCGTATATTGAATTGAGGTAAAGATATATGCCTCATCTTACTTTGTATAAACTGACATAAAAAAACAAATGTTAGCTTGTATTAGGAAATATTAGTTTCAATATTTTGGGCACTATATAATTTCCATTGTCGTAATTATTTGGTTACCTTTAAAAATATTACATAATATGTTATCATAGATATTTTTTAAAGAAAACAATGTTTGACGAAATACTGTGTTTTAACCAAAAATGTGAATTTATATTTATTTACATCTAAGAAGAATAACATTTTCTATCATAAAATTGTAGAAAACAGAGAAAAACGCTATTTAAAATTAATTGCATTTACATAAATTACGTTAGTAAGCATAAAAGATCATTCAAAAATTATTAGCAGATTAAAACTACTTTTACGGATTTTATCGCGTTTATTTTTACTTTTTATTTACTTTTATTTTTAATTCCCGACGTTTCGGGCGCTTTCCAGCACCCATGGTCACGGGGGACTGATTCGGTCGGGAATTAAAAATAAAAGTAAATAAAAAGTAAAAATAAACGCGATAAAATTCGTAAAAGTAGTTTTAATCATGTATAGTGTTCGCGTAAATATAAGAAATCATTAATTATTAGCAGAGCTATATTTGTATAAAATAAACACTTTCTCATTGATATATTCAAAATTTGAAATCTTTAACTGACTGATTATTTGACTAATTAAGCTCTCCCATCTTCCAGGAGATATTCATCAAGGAATACCTGAAGCACTACTTCATGAACATGTCTGATAGCAAGGAGCCGCAGGAACCCACGATTGACGATGTGAATCAGCTGCTCAATGAAGTTGAAGCGTTTGCACCGGCAATTCACCTATTTTGGAGTCTCTGGTCCATCGTCAACGCTTCAAAGAGCCAAATACCTTTTGGATACTGGGTAAGTGGTCATCACAACTGTAATAATAGTCATATTCAAAGTGCTGGATATACCAAAGAACTGACCATACGAGAGACATTTTGATATACAAAACAAAGAAAATAATTAAGTATGTGTTTGAACTCAGGCAGTATATAGTCCGAAATAATTGAAGACGCAGAATTGTTTTTATGGAAAAAAATTGTTTTATTCCTTGAAAAACTTTTTTCCTAATTGGAAAGTTTAGACATATTGCCGATCGCGATGATGATGATTTATGATCTCTAACAAAATTCGAAATCATATATTGAAACAAACTATATATACATGATCAGGATTGGGAAACCATAATTTAGTATTCTTAGGAAAAATATTGCTGGGATTGAAACCCAGAGCCTGCGATGCAGGCAAATATGCTTAAATAATCGTACATGGAGATGGTGAAATTCAAAAACTAATAAAATTATATCATATATTTGTTACGACACTGCGATACAATGCTGAGTCGGATGCCCGTTTGTTGCTGCATTAATTTTAATGTAATGAAATATATACATGTGGCGCAATTTTGTATAATGTAGCTTCAAATAAAAGATATAAAATATAAAAAAATATTTAATACGCAGGAATACGCCGTGTCAAGGATAGAAACCTACCTTCGACTTAAACAAGAGATCATAAAAAAGGACAAATACGGTTTTCCACAAAAAAGGAAAATATGTGAGGTCGATATATGAGAGGGCTGTTCCGCCCTCACTGTGTAAGTTAGGGCGCCTGTGCCGCTCTAACAGACCGTTTGAAGAGACGAAGAATGTAAAGTGGCGTTGAGGGATCTTTTCTTGTCTCACTAATTAACCAAAAGACTAATTTGTATTATAATTAAAGTTAAAAAGTGCAAGCGAGTTTGATTTTTAGTGCATCCGAAAAGCATTTTCGTAAAGGGAGAATTTTTTATCGTTACTTCTATATAAAGTTATCTGTGATATATGAATAATAGAACACTCTGTATAGAATGGCAGTGTTATATAAATTGACTGATTACAGATTGTATGTATTTAAATCAACTGACAAAATATGTATAAATGCTACTTTTCGATACAGTATGTTCTAAATTATCAAATTCCTCTCTCTTTATATAGAAGTATGTTGCGTTGTTATACAATCCGTAAATATCCATATTTAATATTTTTTATGTTAAATATTATTATTCCAGTATAAAGTAATTATTATTCACTTTAAGTTGTAATTATGTACATAAGTACATAGAAAAACTGTAACAATTTTATATAAAATTATTTAGAATACAAGTAATTGTTAATACTTGAAAAGGTTTTAATTAATAGGTTATAACTACAACATATTCAGCAAATTAAATGTACAAACGATCAATTTTAATACAAATATATTTTGAAGAATCCAAGTAAATCTTGTACGGTATTATTTTTATTACCAAACGTTAACAACCAATGTGTGTTTTATATCATTAGCGTTAGTTCGAATCTCGGTATGTGTATGATTATCATCGCGCTAATGATTTTTACTAACGTACATAGCTTAGGTTTGATGCATTTTAAATCGTCTGAATTGTTTTAACGCACAAGTAGCAGTGAAAAGTTACTTGGAACCGCATTATTTTATATGTATAATAGACTGTATATCCCTTTATAGCACGGGCTTCCTCTTAAAATTAGTTGTAGTATAAACAGCCACATTGCTCCAGAAAAAAAATCTATTTGTTTGCGTCATAATAAAAGTGATTGTTATTGTTATTACTTTGATATGCTTCCAAACTAAAAACATCAGCGAATTAATTAAACTATCCGATGATATTGTAAAAATAATGCAAGCCTTGTAATTTATATCGAAAAACGCTGTGTGTTTTACAGTTCTTAAAGATTTGAATATGTTAAATGAATAACATTCCTAAATCTTGTATTTTTGTGTATAATCTGATTAATTTAAAATCCTTCTCTATGACCATTAGAATATAAAATAAAAAATGATAAAGAATCAAAGCATCGAGCTATAAAAATGTGACTTAGCACGCATATCTTTCATTAGATTCGGCACAAAAAATTCTAAAGTTTAAGCTAGGAATGCATGGTGAGGTGGATCGTGCCTTGGTATTGTCGTAAATTTGACGGAAAAAGCTTTTGGTGGTAAGCAAAAATTAAATGTGATTATTCCAAAAAAAAAATGGATGGCTCAATTTTGATCAGCCTGTATAATGAAGTTAGCAGTTAAAAAGCTAAGTTTGTAAGTGGCATTGTGACTTAGGTGCGTATTAAAACATTCAACAACAAACAAAAAATATTATTAGGTATACTCACTTTTGTGATTTCGATTTTAATTAATAGTTATGTAAAAAATTACGAATGTTTTTTATTTGTAATAATATTACAGCCAATTTATATGCGGTCTAGTTTTGTTTTTAAAATTAATATTGTGTATTTTTTAAATCCTGGCACTATTAACTATATCTTTTAATATAAAATAGACTCGGTTGCAAATGTTGTTAGTAGATAAATGATAAAATTCTTAATGAAATGACATCGTTATAAGATAGTACATTACATATGGCGAAATAATCAAACGCTACTAACATATATGGTGTCGTTAAGCCTCGTGATATTACAGTCACTTTGACTTAGAGAGGTAGAGAGTAGATACGGCACGAAAAACGAGAACTTAAAATTGAGCAGCGTATAAGTATTTTTTTTGTTTTTCAATTGTCCATTTGTCGTGAATAGATAATAATTACAAGTATGATTAGAACTAACAAGTATGTTATGTTCTTTATTTGAACCTGACTGTAACAGTTTATTATTAACGAATAAGTTTATATAAGTATCATTTAGAAATTATACTTAAAGAGAACTAACGACTTACACTTGTTTACAAATATACATTTTATGTGCATTTCAAACATATAAGGGCAGTTGACTAGTGTAAGACTTCAAAAAAAAGGGGGCAGTTTCTCAATTGCTCTGTTTTTTCGTATGTTACCTCAGAACTTTTTCTAGATGAACTGATTTTAATGATTCTTCTTTTTTTTTTATTTGAATGGTGATTTCATATGGTCCCATATAAATATGATCAAGATCTGACCAGAAGTTTTTGAGTTATTCTTAATAACGCGTATTTAATTTACTTAGACTACATTGCTGATGTTCAAAGTTGTACATTGCTGTTGTACAAAGTTTTTAACTTTACCACTTGTTTTTAAATGAAATGGGGCGGCTGATGTATCAAAAAATGTACTTTTGATTTAAAAAATACGAGCTTACTACGATTTATTAAATTTATGAAAATAACTGACACATATTCAAATGAATATTATGAATAAAGAAAGTTCAATAGTCAAACCCAAGTCTAATTAATTAAAAACAACAATTAATTAGAAACGAACTAATAAAGAAAAAATATATGTTTGAGAATAGGAAGATAAGAGTATTTTTGCTCTCTTATTAATTTTATGTTTAAAAAATAGTTTCGGTTACATATTCAAGTGCTGCACCCTGCATTTTGCCCACGTACGTAAATTAGGCGTTCTAAAATATATAAGTACTTATTTTCCATATTTGTGTTGTGATATAGTTTCTTGTTATAATATTACTGGATAAATGCGTAAGATTCATTTGTGTACGTAGATAGTGGTTCGAATGATTCAATTTAATAAACGTTGTTTTAAAATATATTATTGTTTCATTTTATATTGTTCGTTCTTAACCGCATAAGAAAATCCACTACACTATATCGTCCCTTGGGTCAGGCGACAGAAGTAAACTGAATCAAAATGGAGTGCAACATTTTCCTGTTAACTACGGTTAGCTGCAGATGCCGCTCCACCAGTGGGACACCTCCACAAAACCACTCCCTATGAGGCAACCTGTATGGGAAAAGTTCAGCAGTGGGCTTTTGAAGGCTGCGCAAGTGAATGGACACAATGGATAGATTCATTTATAAAATTCTTCCTAAGTGTCATACATTAAAGTGAGAAAAAAGGGACGAAATGTGGACATTTTCAAGCTAAAACAAAGTAGTTTTTAAAGCTAAATCACCACTTCGGCTACACATTGATAATGATTATCAAATTTCGGTGAATAAGTCCCTGCAGCGAGACTGTTCAACCATGTCTCGACTTCAGGCACAAGCTTGAATACGTACATAGGTACTCGGTGACGTTTTTCTTTGAATTTTTGAAATATTGGCACGGCCGGTATATAAAACATCACCAGTGCTGTCGTCCGCATTGTAATTAATGTTATCTGTTTGCAACATATAATTGATATGCAGAAAAAACAGCGTTGGTGATAGCACGCAATCTTGTAGAACACCAGCGTTAATAGGCTTGAGAGCTCAGAGCATGCACCGTCTACTACGATCTCGATGCTTCGATCAGCAAAAACATTGGTGATCCAATTGCACAATTTCTTGGGAAGCCTATAAATAGGGAGCCTCGAAAGAAGTGTTTTGTGCCAGACCCGATCAAAGGCCTTCGGTATGTCCAAGCTAACGGCCAATGCCTCCCCCTTGGACTCTACTGCCTCCGCCCATCTATGAGTCAGGTAGACCAGCAGCTCACCATCGACCACGACGAAAACCGTATTGGCGGCCACTAATCAGCTGGTGATCCTCAAGGTACATTATAAGCCGGCAGTTTATAATGGATCCCATTATTTTGGGGAACAAGGAGGTGATGGCGATAGGCCGGTAGTCGGACGGGTCTGAGCGGTCGCCTTTTTTAAAGTTCGGGTGGACAAAAGCTATCTTCCATGAATTAGGGACTACGACTAGGGCGTAGGAGTACCGAAAAAGATGAGTTAAAACAAGTGCCACCTCCGGAGCACTCCATCGCGCCCACTCGACTTGTTGAGGATTAGGGAGCGAAGTGCTTTGCGCACCTAGCGCTATGTAAATGGTACATTCTGCATGGAGCACTCACACAACGGGATGATCGGTGGTGTGTTCCCCCTGACATCGAGAGTCGAGTTGGACGCAAAGAGAGAACCTAGCAGATCGGCTTTCTCCTTTTTGGTATGTCCCTGTGAGTCATACTTTATGTGCAGAGATGGGAGAGATGGCTGACAGAAGTTCCCTTGGACAGCCTTGGCGGAAGACCAGAATGCACGGGTTCCCGAAGGAAGACGTACTAGCTTCTCGCCAATTCTGCCGATGTGCTCAAACCTTGCCTTGGCAATGACTCTTTTGTATGAACTGGAGCCGGAATTATACCATATTAGAAGAAGAAATTATACGTGGTAGAGCCATGCTGCTATATTAGTAGTATAGTTGTAGCACGAATGGGTCGGCTCGACCGGGGAATGATCATGCTCTCACAGAATACCAGCGTCAAATGGTAGCTTAATGCTGCTGTGTTTCGTATGGTGAGTGTAGAGAACCGGAGACCCTTTTTACTAGAAACGAAGCATTCCATCTTAGTCCTCACGAGTGACAACCCATCTGCATTTTGATTCGTAATCGAGGATAAATGTAGAAGTCTATGGGCCACAGCAACCACTTACCATCAGGTGGACTGTGTGCTCATTTGTCACACTATCCCATATAGAAAAAAACTTTTTTGAGAGCGCTGGTGTTTACATCCCGTGACTTGCGTCTCAGGCCCGGTAGCACTCCTGCTTTTCGCGTGATGCTATTTTGCAGGAGCGACCAAACTATGAATCAGCCTCCGATGGACACCACAGCGGATGGAATAAAAAGTTCCATACCCTGAAAT